CCCATTGGGGTGCCCTCAGTTTGTTTGTAGAAAGTTCCATTCCAAGTGAAGTATGTATTGGTTAAGCAGTGTCTCACCAGGGGGGTTACCTCAGTGTTTAGTCCTTGATGAACCAAGTCTTCAATGATTGCGATGGTGTCAGGTACAGGAACTTTGGTGAATAAGGAAACTATATCAAAACTGACAAGCAGGTTGTCTGGGGACAGGGAAATACCCTTGATTGTCGATACCAGGTGAGTAGAATTTTGTACCGCAGAGGTGGTTTTTCCAGTGAAAGGCCGCAGGATTTCAGACAGAAAACGAGCCAGTTTGTAGGTGGGGGAGTTGATAGTAGAGACGATGGGACGAAGAGGTGTATCTACTTTATGTATTTTTGGTAAGCCGTATAATCTCGGTGGCCTGGCAGCAGAAGGTTTCAACGAGAACTGTTTGGTTTGATCAATTAATGCGTTTGAATCAGAAATGATTTTGTTGGTTTGTATGACGAGGCTGTTTGTGGGATCTCTTTTTATTTTTGTATAGCTGCCATCGTTGAGTAATTCTTGAATTTTGTTGTTATATTCTATTTTATCCATGATGACAGTGGCATCGCCCTTGTCGGCTGAGAGGATGACAATGTCATCCCCCTTTTTTATTTATGTAATTCAAAACGCTCATCTTTGCTGAGGTTGCTAGCTGGCGTCTTAGCGTTTTTGAGGGTTGCAGCGATTTCAGATCTTGCTACGTCTGCACCGATGTGACCCAGGCCCCTGAGAGCCACGTCTACTTGGGCAATGATATCATTAACTGGTATGTGTTTAGGTGTGACTGCAAAGTTTAGCCCTTTAGCTAAAACGGATTTCAGACCATCGGAAATAGATTATTTATGAGGGGGGCTGCTCGATGTGGAGTAACGTCACGAGCGTTGCACACAGACATTATTGGCTCATTAATGGGGGGGGGGGTGTCCATTTGGAGGATGTCACCTGCTCATGATTATTAATGAGGGGGGCTGTTCGATGTGGAGTGACGTCACCCACTCATGATTATTAATGAGGAGGGGTGGGGGGGTATCCATTTGGGGGACATCACCTGTTCATGAATATTCATGAGGGGGGCTGGTCAATGTGGAGTGACGTCACGAGCTTTGCACACAGACATTTTTGGCTCATTTTGTAGGTAATTATGGGGGGGGGGGTGGCCTTTTGGAGGACGGCACCTGCTCGTTAAGAGGGGAGGGGGGCTGTTCGATGTGGAGTGACGTCACTTGCTCATGATTATTAGTGGGGGGGTACTCCATATTGAGTGATGTCACCCGCTCATGATTATTAATGAGGAGGGGTGTTGGGGTGTCCATTGGGAGGACGTCACCTGCTCAGGAATATTAATGAGGTGGGCTGGTCGATGTGGAGTGACGTCACAAGCGTTAAGGACACACATACCTGGGTGATTCATAAATTGACTCTTGTGTTAGGCCACGACAAATCCTTTCGGAATCATGACATTTGCTGCGAAAACCTACGTGTTAGGTAATCATAATGTAGGGCCATTCAACAACCCGCGGCTGGATGAAGGCCTCCATCGGGCCTTGTTAGTCACGCGGATCGTTTGACCATACTTCACTGTGCTTGCAGGTGGAGTCGCAGGACCGGTTCGGATAACGCTCGCCAGTCCTCTAGTCCTCAGGGAATGGCGGCCAGGCTTTTACGTGAATCTCTTAGAGCTTGAGAAGGACTTCTGGGTTAGGTCACGTATTTGTAAGTGTGTTGTGAACCCGCCACCACCCGACACAGCCAACCAGTAAGGTTTGTTGCGTAAACAGAACTAATTATATTACGAATAATATTGAATGACGTTGGTCGCGAATGCCTTACGTGTGAAACTCTTAAATTGTGTCGTTATTACTGATTGGTTTTTTTTCGGTAAAGTCACGTATGTAGAAATACAATAAGATTATATTACTCCATATTTTATATTACTCCATATTATTGTATTTCTACATACGTGACTTTACCGAAAAAACCAATGAGTCATTTATGCAGTCACGAAAGCTTTAACTCTGCATCGTTATTATTGGCAGCCTTGATTGATCCACTGCTGAATGAAGGCCTCCCCAAGCAATCCGCCACCTCTCGCACGTAATCTCGTGGCGATGCAGCAGGTCGTCCAGAGCCTGCTCACGAGTTGATTTCACCGCTCCCATCTCCCCAGTGGACAAAGTCTCATTTCTACAGAACTGCTTTTTGCATTTATTTTCATTGTTCTTTCCACTAACTTCCTTTGTCTGTCTCTTGCAACAGTAACTGTGCCCAGCTGTTTCTGTTCAGCCTCTTTGAGGCGCACACTCGTATTTAGACGCTGCTGTATGGATCTAGATTGTTATTGTCTCTGCTTTTTTCATAGCCCACACGAGTGGACTCAGAACTGCATCGCTCAAACTTATTTTATCACGCGCACAGCGTACTCGGGGAATAGCAATTTGTGGGATGCAAGATGCCTTGTCTAGAAGTCTCTCACAGCTCTCTTCGAAACATTTATTTTTGTTGACTTCTTGCCAGGTCCCCCTCACAAAAGAGGTTTTTTAACATCAGAATCTTTATTTAGACTGAAGCAATCCGATGAGCTATGAAGCTCTTTTTCACAGATGTCCAGTGTGGATGTGTCGGCAGGTTAACTCTTACGAGCAAGATGTCTGGTGAGTGTGGAAGGGTAGACCTAAATAGCTTCTCAGTGGAGTCTCTCTAGCGCTACCTTGAGTGGACGTTCTTCCGCCCGCGGTGGAGGGACAACGCTGTCGCAGGGCTGTGCCTTTGCCATGTGCACATTCCCATCGCCTTGTGACGGGGAAACAATATTTAATACACTAACGTTGTGAGTAATAGCCCTTTCTTTAGAAGCGGAGGGAGAGGGCAGAAAGGTTGACTGACAATTCTGGAGATTGCCCTGTGTAGTTTAATGCCTTAAAAAAACACACAATGGTGTCACAAGAACAATGGGAAATTGGAATAAAATTGACACCGGGACATTTTGGAATTGACGTCCAATCGTTTCATTCCGGGGGGCCATTGTCAAATGCGGTCAGCAGCTGTCGGACATTCCTTCTGCCCTCTGTCTTGTCTGCGGAAGGGATGTTGCCTGAAACATTAGCCTGCTATACATTTATATTTCAATTTTTTTGTCTCTGATCTGCACGTACGGCTCTGTCAATCCACTCCTGGATGACGACCCTCACGCCACGCAGGGTCCACGCAGGTTTTTTGACCATACTTCACCACGCTGGTCAATGCCGGTTGGTGAAGGCAGGGAGAATATACGTACGTTAATATATATGTTAAACTTCTTTTGCACCGTATGTAGCTTCCGAGGTCTGACAGGATTGGGCGCGTTCTGAACGATTGGTAGTAGGATTTTACCCGGTGTCTTCCGTCTTCAGTGGGTGAGGGTGGTACGTGTGTGGGCTTTTAATTTGTGCTCATATCCGGCGCAAGCTCCTTAGTCTCGTAGGCATAATTACTAAATTGTGTTAGTTTTAATATTCAAACTAAACCGAAGCAATTAACTGCGTAATGAGCATTTGACCTGGCCCAGAGCTAGTTGACCTTCGCGAGGATTTTAACGAGGTCACGTCGATAACATTGGGGGGGAGCGCACTTGGGAAAATAATTCTATAATTCAAAAAGCAGAATCTCATTACTTTTCTATTAGTCCTCTTTGTCTTTCCTCTTATTTTGCTTTGGCTATTCTATCGGCGTCCTGTTATCAGGAGATGAATACTTTCCTACTCAGAATTCTCGACCCGAAATGAACGAACCCTTTTGCCCCGAGAACGTTTAGAGTAAAAGGCCCGGTGGCAGACGACATCACAAATCTCGCTTTTGTGGTCCACGCCTGACTGCTGATGAGACCCAAAAGGTCGAACGCTCACCGAGAGCTAGCCCCGCGTAAACAATTGCTGCTGGCTGGGCAATATTGGTCTGGAAAACCGATAGGTTGACGGGATGATACATATCTTTTGTCGAGGAGATGAGGGAATGTCTGTTGTTTTTAATTCACAATGCTCCAGAAGGACACGAGTTGACGAGTTTTGATTGAGCGCCCACCCCCCCCACCCCCCCTCTTGTTTTCCGGGCACAGGGGCCCGGTCCGCGACGGTCCGCGTTTACAACGACCCGCGATTGCGACGGTTTATATTAACCGCCACCACGGATCGATTTACTGCGCGGAGGCTTGATTTACGAACACGACTCCGAACACGTTTGAACAGAGTCGGTCTGCTTTTCCCGATGTGAGCTTTTTTTCTTCTCGAGTTGTTCTCGTGGATTTTTGTTACCTTTAAACCCCCCCCCCCGCCCCCCCCCCGTTCAAACACGGCCAATAAAAGTAAGAGCCCTACGGGTCAGAATTTCTATCGGCCACGTAAAAGTAAGAGCTTTGTAATCGTGACGGTCTTGTCGTCGTGACGGTTTAATGACATAGACCTTAAACTTACAACCGCGTGGCCCAAACACAACAGCAAACATGGGTCATTGTAATTCGGGTTTGCCGAGCCCTCCCAGTGTAGGACCCGACTGAAAAAGAGGATTTGGACTGATTATGGGTTTATTATATTGACTGTGTAGATACATCACTCCCAGCGGTGCCGGCTCGGCATATCCAAAAAGATATCAGCCACCCCAAGAGCCTTCCAACCACCTCTGCCTACTTTCATGCGATTGACAATTTTTTTTTTATTTTACCCGTGACCACGGGGGGAGAGAGAGGAACGCGAACTCCAAATACACAGCAGGTGTCAGGGTCGAGATCAAACCCACGACCTCCTGTATACCAGGCGAGGTATTTTAACGTCTCACTGCTGTGGCACTTGGCTAATTCTTCAGCGTTTGCTTCTTCTTCCCTTCCTGCGGTCGTGCGAGGCACGTGCGGTGCGTGGCGGGGTTGCAGGCGTGCGAGCCGCGTGCCGCTGGGACAAGTCTCGGCCTCGGCTGCAATAATGACCCGTCGCCCCTATCTGCCTCCTGCAGGAGTGGATAACTATGGGCGTCCCGTGGTTGTGATCGTGGGCAGGAACATTCCAATCCCCGTCATCGATCCGGAGAAGGTAATGCGCGAGCGGGCACGTGTGCTGGTGCGCGGGCGGGCGGGTGAGCTGTTAGGGTGCGCTGGTGAGCGGGCTGGTGAGCGGGCTGGTGAGTGGGCTGGTGAGTGGGCTGGTGAGTGGGCCGGTGAGCCGCCTGGTGGGCTGGTGAGTGGGCTGGTGAGTGGGCTGGTGAGTGGGCTGGTGAGTGGGCTGGTGAGTGGGCTGGTGAGTAGCTGGTGAGTGAGCTGTTAGGGTGCGCTGGTGAGCGGGCTGGTGAGCGGGCTGGTGAGTGGGCTGGTGAGTGGGCTGGTGAGTGGGCGGGCTGGTGAGTGGGCTAGTGGGAGAGCTGGTGAGTGGGCCGGTGAGCCGCCTGGTGGGCTGGTGAGTGGGCTGGTGAGTGGGCTGGTGAGTGGGCTGGTGAGTGGGCTGGTGAGTGGGCTGGTGAGCGGTCTGGTGAGCGGGCTGGTGAGCGGTCTGGTGAGCGGTCTGGTGAGCGGGCTGGTGAGCGGTCTGGTGAGCGGGCTGGTGAGCGGGCTGGTGAGCGGTCTGGTGAGCGGGCTGGCAGACTTCGCGGGCCGGCTGGTGAGCAGGCTGGTGAGCAGGCTGGTGAGCAGGCTGGTGAGCAGGCTGGTGAGCAGGCTGATGAGCGTGCTGGCAGACTTGGCGGGTAGGCTGGTGAGCAGGCTGACGGGCCAGCGGACTAAGGTCGGGGGCCGGGAGGTGGGCGCGGCGAGTGGCGGGCAGGCGGGCGGGCGACCGGGCGCCGCTCGTGCGCCTGAGATTGGCTTTCGCGACGCAACTTTTTACATTAAGGGGGGCGGGGGTGGGGTCGCCGGGTGCCGTAGGGGGAACCCGGTGAAGGTTCTGCCGAGGTCGATGTGATTCGGCTTGCACTGCCGATTCCCTTCGCAGCCAGATTGTCCTCCCCCCAGCCACCGCCACACAACCCCCCCCCCTCCCCCCTGCTATTTTTAGACCTGGCAACAGCAATAATAATGGGACGCGTGTTTGAGATGAGAACCCTGTTTTTGGAGCCGTGAAGCCGGCTGGGGTTTGATGGACAGAATGGCCTTTTCCTACTCTGTGGCTTGTTATTGCGCTTTTGTGTATACGCAAGTGTGGTGTGTGTGTTGTGTTTCTGTGCGTGGTGCGCCTGCGTTAATAGCAGAGAATGGTCTTGTAAAGGCGAGGTTCGATTCCCGCTCACGGCCAACACCGGTGACGGATATCTGAACCGGTCCTGGGCTTCCGCAAGGTCGACTCGGCCTCAAATGGGTACTATATTTTTGTGTGTGTGTGTCGGGAAAGGTCCTGACAAGGATTATTCAGGTACGCTGAGGAGAGGCTTGCGGAGCCCCAATGTGGTTTCAGGAAAGGGCGGTCCTGCACAGATGCAATATTTTCTGTCCGTCTGCTACATCTCTGCTTTATTGACCTGGTCAATGCCTATGATACCATCAGTAGGCCTGGGCTCTGGGTTGTTCTTCATGCTTTCAGAGTCTCTGACAATCTCACAATCATTCAGGATCTTCATGATGGTGAGCAGGCCCGGGTAAAACGATGTGGCCGGTAGTCGGAGCCATTCTCTGTTCTCCTTGAGGTGCGACAGGGATGTTCCCTGGCTCCCACATTATTTAACATCTATTTCGACCATGTAGTTTGTGAAGCCTTCGATGGCTGTACCAGAGGAAGTTCCATCTGGTACAGATACAATGGGAGGCTGATCGATGCCCGGGTGCGGTCAAGGGATGGCTCCCTATTGGTCAACCATGTTATGTATGCCGATGATCTGGTGATTGCTGCTCACGCAGAGGAGGAGTTAGAGGCGCTGCTGCTGAACCTGGAGCGTGCCCTTTAAGAGGTTGGCCCTTACCATCATCTTCACCAAATTTAAGCACCTGCTTTGGTATTTTGTACCATCAGACACTCCACCCCCACAACTTCGAATTGGTAATGGGGCAGTTGTGGAGAGAGCACACTGCCATATCTGGGCAGTGTGCTCATGACCGGCTCCGGTTTGACAGCAGAGGTCTCACTTCGAATCAGTCAAGCGGCTTTATCTTTTCATCGGCTGCGTAACGCTGTGTGGAAGCTACCTGGTTTGTCGCTCCACATGAAGCTTCAGGTCTTCTCGCCCACAGTCTTGCCGTCCTTTCTCTACGCTGGCCTGCCTGCGATCCATCCTGGGTTTAACCAGGCTGGATTGTGTGAGGAGCTCACAAATCCTTGAAAGATCTGGACAACATCCCATCGGTGAGGTCCTCCGGCATGCAAGGCTGCGTTGGCTGGGTCATGTAGCCCTGCATGCCTAAACAGCTTTTGTTCAGCCAGATAGAGGGGGCTAAACGGGCACGACACGGGCTAGAAGATGGAGTGATGTGGTACAAGAGGAGGTGCAGCTGATTGGACTTGCTGATGACTGGTACCAGCGGTGGAAAGATCGGCCTCTGGAGGAGGCTCGTGAAGGACGCCACTGGGCAGTTGGAGGTAGTCGCCCTCCAGCAACAACGTAGGGCAGAGGAGCGACGCTCACAACAACGAGCGGCGCGCCGGGCGGCTAAAACACAGCAAATTGGCACAGTAGGGGGCACAGGTGGTGCATCGGCCAGTCATCTCAGTCAGTCGACCCATGGAACCTGGGTCTGCCCCGCGACCTCCTGCCGGCGGGTGTTCGACACTTCACGTGGCCTTAACGTGCACATAACCTTAACGTGCACATAACCTTAACATGCACATAGTCTTAACGTGCACATAGCTTGGCACAAGCGCTGTGGTGTCGTCACCGCCACTTAGTGGCAAATGGCGGTTGTTGTTATTGTGCACTTGTTAGTGTGCATGCACGTGTGTTTTAGTGTGCGTTCACATATGTGTGTGTGCACGCTTGTGTGTACGCGCAGGCGTTTTGAGTTGTTCATGGTTAGAGGATGGCGATGATTTTGAAATGTTCATTCTGAGGCTCCAATGCTTTGTGTGGCTGCCCCTTTAACCATCACACATCCGTGGTTCTGCACATCCCCGTCTCTTCTCAACTGGAAATTAGTGAAAAAGAGCTTCATAGCTCATTGAATTCCTCCAGTATAAATAAATATTCTGATTCCGATTTTGTTCGTGCCCCACCCCACCCCCCTGGCCACGCGCCCTCTTGCCATGCCCCTGGCTGAGTAATCGGGAAGTGTGGCGGCCGCTGTATGGCCTCGGTCATCACCAAAATAAACCCCCAGCTGATTGAATCACGAGAACGGCCCCCACCAGATTGCGGTGGTGGCCGCGCGGAAGCCTATCTGATTAGCCGCCGGGGTGTCATTACGGAAATTAGTACCCATCTATCCGTGGGAAATTAGGAAGTGGCAATGGTAAAATAGTTTAAGTCCAGCCTCGTAACGTTGATAACCGTCCCTGCCTTCGGTTGGCTGCTGCTGGATTTTCTGCAGCTTGCAGTGTGAATTTAGAAAATGCTATTTTTTTTTTAAATTAGGCGACGTAAATATTCGTCAAGGCAGTCTTCATTTATTTCGTTAAATCTTCGAGCGCGGCGACGATGGCTGCGATTGCCACCGCAATCGGGGAGCAGGGCGTGGCTACCGACTGTGACGGGACGAAGTTAACGAGTCTCTGAATGAAGATTCGCTCCAAGAGAGGATTTGGTAGGGCGGCTCGTGACTGCAGCGCACCAAAGGAATGCCGCACGTGGAAATTGTGGCTGCACTGTGGTTAAAAGCGGGTTGACTTGGTGTTTCCATGAATGACCTTCAGGCCACCGCAATATAATATGAAAGACGCCATGCCACCTGATTATGCACAACCCTGCCAACCCACGCCCCTCCAGTTGCCAGAACATTGCTCCCTGGACAGAAGCTCCATTCACTTGCTGTCCGCATATGCAGCTTGCCTCCCTGATGAACACATTGTCGGCAAGATCACCGATTCTGGTCTTCAGGCCTTCAAATGCTGAGCACACACACATGGGGCATCTCTTAACTTCACCACACGCCTTGCCGAGTCTTTGGGCTTTAGTGAACCAATGATTATGCCGATTAGATGCACTAATATCTGATATGGCTATTGTTTGCAATTGTATAACAAAAAAAAGAGGGCCGGATATGGGTAGTCGGAGATAGCTCAAACCCCCTGACACTAACAAGTGGACCAGATTCTTTAAAGATTTGAAACAATGGTGCAGGTTTCTTAATATCCTCCCCGCCACTGTCCACCCAGCAGCGGGCATCACGGTGGCGAGATGTTAACTACCTCTCCCGGTATACAGGAGGTCGTGGGTTCGATCCCGACACTGACGCCAGTTGTATATTTGAAGTTTGCGTGTTCTCCCCCATGGTCGTGTGGATTCTCTGGGGTCCTCTGGATTTTTCCCTCCACATTTAGAATCAATGTCAGGCGTTTGGAAAAGTTAGCTGTTATGCATTTTTACGTGATAAGCCACTTCCCTGAATAACACAAAAATATATAAAATGTGGTTGGTTAAAGCATGAGTAGTTCCACCTATTCCAAGACATTTGGCCAGTGTGTAAGCGTAGGCCAGACTACCCGCCTGGGCGGAGGCCCCTTCAACCAGCGGTGCCACGAGCTAACAATTGCAGGGCTGCACTTTGACCTTCTATTGTTCTTATGCGACGATAGTAAGGGATTGATCGAATGAAATCCCCAGATTTGAGACTCTACTATGTGTGTTACGTATATTGGACTTGTTTCGCACCGTACGTAGCCAAACTGTGCTAATCGGAGGTGCGGGGGTGGGGGGAGCGGGACAAACTAAACGCAAAAGGCAGTTGTCGAGAAATGAGTTTTGCATCTAGATTTGAAAGTGCATAGCTCCAGTGGCTTTTTAATATCTGAAGGAACAGCGTTCCAGACTAAAACCTCCACGGGTTGTCGTCGACTTGACGAAGAAGACCACGACTAGGATGAAAAATATATATTTTAAAAAAATGCCGAACCCCAACTCCCCCCCCCCCGCAACAAACGGTGTCGACGACGCGTAGAGTCTTTGATGGCTACGTTTGGTT